CCTGTTCGTCAGTGGAGGGAACCCGCTTGCCCCGCTTTCGAAACAGGGGCTCGGCGGAGGCGGAACACCGGACCCTCCGCGCCGCAAGTGGAAGGATTCGGCGGATCTGGAACGCCAGAGATTTGTTCACAAGGGCAGGGGGCTAGCGTTTCCAATCAGACCGCCGGTCCCCCTCAGCGAAGCAAAGGGGGTCCCCCTTTGCTGAGAGAGGGGCGGGGCCCGACGGATTAGCAACAGGGGGCCCGACGTTCCCAATCCGCCGGACCCCCTTTTTTGAGCGTGCAGGGGGGTCCTGCGTCCACAAGACGAATAAAGGGTCCGTCGCCGGAGCCTGTGCGGGTTGAAAAGGGGTTCCGACGGATTGGGAACGCCGGACCCCCCGTTCAATAGGTGGGCGGTCCGGCGGATTGAGAACGCCGGACCCCTTTGCTGAGAGAGGGCGGGGCCCAGCTGATTAGCAACAGGGGGTCCGGCGTTCCCAATCCGCAGGACCCCCTTTTTGAGCGTGTAAGGGGTCCTGCGTCCGGAAGACGAACAGAGGGTCCGGCGCCGGAGCCCGTGCGGGTTGGAAAGGGGTTCTGGCGGATCGGGAACGCCGGACTTCCCGTCCAACAGCTGGGGGGTCCGGCGGATTGAGAACGCCGGACCCCTTATGTCCGACAAAGGGGGACCTGGGTTCTGATGCGGCCACCCCCCCCCCGCTCTTTTCAGCCCCGCGACCTTTCGAAGGGGGGGGGGTCCGACGTTCCCAATCTGCCAGACCCCCTTTTTGAGCGTGCAAGGGGTCATGCGTCCGGAAGGCGAACAGAGGGTCCGGCGCAGGAGCCCGTGCGGGTTGGAAACGGGTTCAGACGGATTGGGAACGCCGGACCCCCCCCTTTCGAAAGGTCGGGGGGCTGGAAAGAGGGGGGGTAGGGGGGGGGCGCATCGGAACCCGGGTCCCCCTTTGTCGGACATAAGGGGTCCGGCGTTCTCAATCCGCCGGACCCCCCACCTGTTGAACAGGGGTTTCGGCGTTCCCAATCCGCCGGAACACCTTTCCAACCCGCACGGGCTC